ATGACTTTGCCTAGCATGAGTCATAACAGCTAATTATTTATAATGTATAAATAATTTGGGGAATTAGTGTCAAAGTGAGGAATAAATAGCTTAAGGTTTTTTCATACAGTGTGTGAACATTAAGTGCTACTAATTAAAGAAGTAACTTGGTACGACAAAGGCTACACAGTTTAGGCATTCTGCTTTTAAAACACAAACAAATTTGTTGTCTTTTCCAGTTAAATGCTAACCTCTATCCATGTCTGCAGGTTACGGAAGGAAGCCATCTTGGTTACATCGTAAACAAACACCACTGCGTGTACGTTGCGGTAATAGTGTTCGACCATGGACTTGCGAAAGCGCTCCTGGCCTGCCGTGTCCCACACCTGCACCTGTAGAGACAGACAGAATACATGTATGAACAACAACATGTATGGAGGGAATTTTGTATCAGTCTTGGAGGGGAGGACAGCTTAGAATTTATGCCTTAATCTTTGTAAAACATTTAATGACAATGAAGAATTCATTCAATATGTTTGTACAGATTAAATTAGGTTTAAGTTAAAGGAAAGCTTTTTAAAAATAAATCAATTTTGTTTGCTTGTATCCTTAAAGAAAGTTATTTAACAAACTGTCTAAAAAACAACTCAGACATTACAGCTCTGGGTAATGTTCCAAGATAACTGGAAGCATTGTGACGATATTCTCACACCATCTCGGGACAGCGCTGTTCTCTAGGTGTTACAAAAAAAGTAAAAAAAAAAAACAACCACTGGACTTTGTTTCTGAGTTTGAAGATGTTTGGCTTCCCTTCCAGCAAGCTTTTTCAATTGAAATTGTCAGAAACAGCGTTGAGTTCAAGGTTCCTATAGAGTAGCCCAACAGAGCCTTTAGAAAACCTGCAAATTGAAATGGATGAACAGATTTGAGGTAGAATAAGATGACTGGCTAAGTAAAACATGTATACAAGACTGTACGTGTAGGCACTTTAGGGTGCAGGTTTTACTGGAAGAAGATCAGCTGGGAATCGGGCTGTACTGTCGTACTGTCTTCAGACTGAAAAATCTGAAATGATTAAGTGGTGTCAACTGGTCCACAATGTGTGATCAGAAGGGTTCTGGTATAAACAGAAGCAGCTCGTCCTTATAGTAGGAGTGTAAGCAAATAATCCACTATGGAGTAATGTGTTGATTACCAAAAAATGGCACTGGTGGCTTGTTTTATGGACAGTAGTCTGAAAGGCGGAAAGGGAGTATGAGAGAGGGGAGAGACATGCGGCAAAGGACCACAAGTCGGATTCGAATCAGGGTCGGCCATGTCGAGGACTGAAGCCTCCGTACATGGGTAGTGTGCGCTAACCACTACTCCACCAAAGCACACCCCGATTAATGATTTATTAAGACTACTTCCATAAGTCAGTAACAGATGTAAGTTAGAGCAGAACCATGAATGGATCCAGAGCATGGACGAAATTTTGATTTCTGAAGTGGCATTAGACCAAGTACATTTTAATATAACTAACTTCAGGGTGTGTGACCATCCATTCAAAGGCCCGCTTCAGTAGCGCATCAGATCTTTGTAAAGTGAGCTTCTCAGGAGTGACAGCGGTGACAGCCAATCACACAAGAAAAGACAGTTGGCCAATGAGGAGCTTGTGGGCGGTCTAAACTTAGGGAAGGGAGCTTCAGCTTGAGCTGCAGTTTCCAATAGGTCCTAGTGCTTGACGTGTCTTGGTGTACTGTAGCGTAACATGGCTTTTGGACAGTAAAAAGTGCAGGGGAACAAAACAGAGTTTTGAAAAATTGCAGGGAACATGTCCGCCTTGCTCCCTGCCCAAAATTACGTCCATGATCCAAGAGCCTGTTCAAGATTATGCACACTTTAATGTAGACAGGCAACCGCAAACAGAAACACCTTTTAGAAATGCTTCTAGTTGCACAAAATCTCTCCGAGTACTGATTGTTGGATTATACCAAAGACAGAAAGCTACATCTCAGCTGGCATCTACTTCATTGAAACAAAGTGGAAAACAGCCTGACAGTATGTTAGTGCGACATACCCAGTCTTTAAATGATAGCGTTACATCTCCATATGTGTCAATGGTCTTATTATTCCCTCCGTTAAATTTCTTTTTTGCCAATGCATTATGAACTGTTAGACTTGGTTTCCTAGTGATGTTTCTATTCATCTTTTAAGCAGCATAGGCTGGATTCAGGATTTTATTTGTCAAATTATGGCTCAATATTTGTAAGAGATCTACCAGGGTTTTTAAGGCCCATGCCAATAACATTTTTTTTAAACACTTTATTTCAGATTTTCATTAAACGTACAAAACTAAGGCTTCATCTAATATTCATTTTGCATATCGAATAATCTGTCAATTATTTTTTCGATTGAGTGATTCATAATCAGAAAGCCAAAAAAACTTTACAAATAAGACTTTTAACAAAATAAAACCAGGGGAAACTCTAACTTTTCCACTTGATGAGTTCTGGATAGAGCATACTGACAGACAAATGTTTTTTTTTTTTTATATCTTAAATGCAAAAATTGTACATCGTCACTGTCGGGAAAAAACCTTGTAACTCCCATTTTGGACTTTTTTTTTAATTGATACGATTGGTCAGTCCCCACATGTGAACGTATGTTTCGGAAAATATTAACCAATTAAAAGAAAAAAAAAAGAAAAAAAAAAAGAAAAAAGTCAGTTATCAACCTTGCCGGCGGCGGCATTGGTACTGATGGAACTCGCATCTCCACAAGTCGCAAGTCAAAAACCTCATAAATCCATTTAAATATAACTTGGGGGAAGCAGTATTCAAAAAGTGATACATTTAAATACAGAACAGTGAGTAAAGATATAATACCAACTCTGATAACAAAATGTTTATTTTTCTAAAAAAAACACAGCGTTTTTACAATTTCCTGTAAACTTTATGGTTTTGGACATAGGAGGTTTCCGTCCGACAGCGACGATATATTATTTAAAAATCTTGGTATAAATACTGCTCTAAGTGGGTTGCTCTGCTAGCTAAAGGCCTGTTATAGAGTCTCTATAATCCAGTTAATGATTAATCGATTACTAAATTAGTTGACAATTATTTCAATAATCGATTAATCTGATTCATTGTTCCAGTCCTATATAAAACAATCATATTTACTGTATTACGGATAATTATACCAGACAGCAACAGAAATAGACAAAGCTCACACCCACAAAAAAAACAACAACAACACAAACAGTAAAAACCAGTGAACTTAATAATTGCTACTGCAGGGCAGATGTAATGAGTTCCAGTCCCAGAGCCAGTAGATTTTTCACAAATGTTATTAGACTCCCAGGTTTTGTGGAATGTGTTGATGGACCCATTGAGAGTACAACTAATCTTTTCCAGTTTAATGTTTAACATAATGCCTCTTATCCAGTGAGGATGAGATGGAGGAGTAGCTGCTTTCCATTTGAATAAAATCAAGGGTCGAGTTAAAAAGGAAGAAAAGGCAATGACCCTAAGTGTGCCAAGGTACCGTTGGATTAGAAAACAAACCAAAAACATTAACCAGTGCAGAAGGTGATGTGAGATAAGCATCGGCATGATAAATTAGGACTAAAACCAAACCTGCCAAGTGGATAAAAAAGCTATCTCCACTCTACCCGATCAAACGCCTTAAGCCAGGCATAGACTGGGGAAAATTATCAATCACTGCACGCAGCTACAGCTCTGCTCGTAGAGCTAAGGTGTTTGCCTAGAAACACCTTACAAAGGCCAACTGAATTTAAAACATGTTTGATTTTCCCCCCGCCCATACGATTCCTGATTGGGAGGTGGTCGTGAGAGGCTAATCGCCCCTCGTTACCCCCTGTACAACATACACCCATTTGAAAACATCTCGCATGACTGGAGAATTGGCCCGAAAAGGGCAAAAAATCGTATAGTGTATACCCGGTTTTATCAGCATTTTACTGCTTCTGGAGATGATGTGTTCGGTTCAGAGTGTAGATATCAAATTAAAATAGGATTTGTCACCATGGACAAATCCAGTCTGGTCCTCCTAAACCAGCTCTATTTTGTTTTTTAAGTTAATTGGTCTAAAAGAACAGCAATCCTGAGGGTCCATATTTCTTTTTAGTAGGAAGAAAGTTATTTACCAAAGCTTCAGTATGAAGCAGGGGCAAGTATATCTTTGAAATATTTTTTTTGTAAAAATCTGTAGGAAACTAATCCATTCCAGGGGCTTTTCCACTTTGAAGGGACATTATAGCCTTATTAATTTCCACTAGTGTCCGATTTTCTCTTTTTAGAGTCTGAGTTAATTTTTGGAATATTCAGATTTGAAAAAAAAAGTTAATTAGGTTTTTTCTGTATTGAGTCTGAAGAATATAATTTACATTATAACTCTTTAAAGCAGCTGTTAATAGATCAAGGAGCCATCAGGTGTTATAATTTGCTAAATATTACGGGATGTAGCTTTCTGAATAAGTCGTCTAGCTAATATTATGGATGGCCTGTTTGTTATGATCGGCCCTGATTGCTGAGCTTTACTGTCCATGTCATTCACCTGCCTAACTCTGTCCAGTTTCTAATTATCGCTCATCTTATCCACCTGCGTCAGCTATCTGGGCCAGATCATCTTAGTTATTCATGTTTGATGTTTGTATGTTTATTTAGTTAGTTTGAGTTTGTTAAAGGGTTCATGTCCCCTAGCCAGTGAGGAGATTATTCACGAGCCAGTGTCATCAGGCGAGTTTATTCCCTAGCCAGTGGTGAGAGCGTTTCAGCGTTTCTTAATTGTTATTGATTACCAGATCCTGTTCTACCTCTCTACCACTGAGCATGCTTGTTCCCGTCTGATCTGTTTGCCTGAATTGTCTTTGGTCAGCTCGACTCATGGAACTCTGAACTCTACTTCACATTCACACTTAACTGTGGATTCCTGGAACCATGGATCTGTCTGTTCCTGTGTGGATCAGAACCCCTGACAGGGCTGCGGACTCCTGGATTCCTGAACTGTTCCTGTCTGATCTGTATTCCCTGACCTGGATCGGATCCCTGCCTGCTAACTGGGGTTGCTGCATCGGGGACATTCTTGGCGGCTCTGCGCCGCAGCTCGTTTGGCAGTCCTGCCTTCCCCTGTACGGATTGAACTGTTTAACCAAGTAAGTGACTCACAGGTAATCATCTCCCGTTAGATGATCGTGGTCAGTTACCTGTTTAAGTAAAAACGCTTTGAACTTTTCCACTGTCTGTTTCACCTTGAATACTTGGTCCATCTGCCCTGTTTCATGACATTGTCCTCCTCTTCATAGAATCTGCTATGAGATTTAATGATAAGCCTTTCAGGTGGAGTGTTACTTAAAAGATACATTTCAGTTTGTATGCATATTCTCCTTTTA